GTGTTCTTTCCCAGAGAAAGAAAAACTTATAATAGGAGATGCTTGGCAGGAATCATTTGCTAATTTTATTGCTACCTTTTTTAAATGTGTGTATGGTTGGGCACTAGTGACTCACACCTTTAATCTTACCTACTTAGGAGTTTGAGATTGAGGATTGCAGCTGAAAGTCAGTCTGAGCAGGAAAGTCCATGGGACTCTTATCTCCAATTAACCACCAAGTGCTAACCTTGAGCATAAAAGCCCAGACACAGCGCCCAAGTCCTAGGCATGGCACACACACTGGCACACACACGCACACACACACACACACACACTCACACATTTGTGTATGTCTTCTTCTACTTAAACCATTTTTTACTCTGTAAAGGATTCAAGAAAACATTTTCTCTTTCTTTCTTTTCTGTTGTTATTTACTATACCCTGTGTTGTTGGCCACATTCTATAGATAAGGAAAACAAAATGTGAAAGAAAAATAAAATCAAAATATGAAGAAAAGAAGTTGAAAAGAAAATTATCTATATGCCTCATCAATATATTTTAAAAAGTCATCTTCTCTACATTCCAGTTTCATATGTTACAATATCTGCAGAATTTCTAAAGGTAAAGGAAATAGAGTGGGGAGTTTTATATTCAGTATCTTTTGGGTTGAAGCTATTAATTCTGTATAATATTTAAGATTTCAATCTGTCTTCACTTAGGATTTTATCAATAAAATGGAGAGGACCAAACATCTCTTTTGAATGCTTTAGGGAAGGGCCAGAAAATCAATGCACCCAGCCATGTGTTGAATATCCAAAGGCTGAAATTTCATTTGATGAGTGATTCTCCTCCTCCTATGCTACCGAGGACAGAGAAATAGAGATATCAAAATGACAATTGAAATATAATAACTATTTTCTTATATTTCTATATATCTATATTTATTAAGGTTAAAAGTTTTTTTGAGAAAGTATCCAGATATTATTTTTACATAGAGGCACTTTCAGATTTCAATTATCCATTGTCCTTCTTCCCTATTACTATCCAGTCTATGCTGACTGTCCAGAAATTATGAATCTCTTCAGCACAAGGTACTCTGCAAGAATGAGTTAGCTTATATGCAGCCACATGGGAACAAAATGGGAGATTCTTCAACTTCTACTCCATTGTAGGAAAGGTGAATTTATCAGACTAAAAGCCTTACAAATAATTTCAGTAGATAAATACCAATCTAGCTGAAACCAGTTTTTAATAGTAATTAATATTCTATTGTGGATTTTAAAAAAAATCCTGTTGCCAGAATGCCCCCAGAAGATGGCATTGTTTACAGTATTGTCTGAAGGGAACAGCTGTTTCCCCCTTTCTCCATTCAGAACTGCAGTGTTCTTGCTGAAATGTTAACAAATCTTAGACAAATGTCTGCTGTTTAAGGCTCAAAGTTGCTCTGAGAACAGGTGTGTTTGGGAGAGAAAAAAGCGGCAACTGTAAGTCAGATTTTAAATTAGGTGCAATTTATAACTATACACTGAGCCTACATATGTACATCTAAATACAGAGCACCAATATTTACTAATAAGTGGAAGAGCATTCACAAGTGGGGGGCTTTATGCTAACAGATTTCTCTGCTTGCCTTTTTTAATGTACTTTACAGGCATATTTTCTGGCACAAATGATGCATTTTAAGTCATTCTGCCAGTAAATGATGTCTGCATATACAATTTTAAAAATACTTTATTTATCCAAACTTTTGGTTTTGTGTTCTTTTTTCTTTCTTGGAGGTATATCAAAGTTGTAAACCCAGTGATTAAACTGTCCTTTACTATCAATTTTGAACTTATAAAGAGACAAACTTTGAAGAGATGAGAAGGATGTGAACCTAAAGGAAATAGTACACATTGTTAGCAAAGGCAGAAGTATGAATTATGAATTAGTACCACCATGTTAGGGAATAACTTGTAATAGCCAATAATAGCTGAAGAAGTGGGGTTCAGTGGCTCACATCAATCTTAGCTACCTGGGAGAATTGCAGGTTTTGGACAGCATGAACTATCTTAACCAATTGAATACTGGTGGTAGTGATGCATGTTTGTCACACCAGCTATTTTCCTGTTGCCATGTGGCTAATGCTTATAATGCAAGCTACCCAGGAGGCTAAAATCTGAAGGTTCAAAAACAACCAGAGGAGAAATATCTATGAAACCTTTATCTCCAATTAACCAGCACAAAGCTGGAAGTGGAGGTGTAGCTCAAGTGGTAGAGTACAAGTGTTTAGTTAAAAAGCCAAAAAAGTGCTAGGTCCTGCCAGTACCAACTAGCACAAAAAGCAAAGCAAAACAAAACAAAACATAAATAGAAGAGTCTAGGTCCAAGTCCAAGTCTACCTGGACAAAAATGTAACTTTCAATTTTAAAAAGTAACAAAAACAAACAGGGTCAAGTGTCAGAATACTTGTGATTGAAAGGTCCTGAGTGCAAGCCATATTACTAACCCCCCCCCAAAAAAAATCCAAAACAACAAAACAAAACAGACAAAAAATTCTTAAATATGAAAATAGCTAAGATGTAGTTACGAGAGGTTCCCAAGTTTATATTGGGGAGAATATTGTAAATAATATATAGGATTATATATAGAAGAACAAGCAAATAAATGTTGGCATATTTATGAGATAAAATAAATACAACAGATAAGATGAATAGAAAGATACTTCATGTAGCTATATGCATAAATGCCAATAACACAACATCAACTACAAAGTACAAGCAGTATGATACCACTTCTATATTGATTAACGACAATCAAAGTGGTTGCAATTGTTGTATAGGGTTGTAAATGTGTTTGGTAAATGCACAGGGATAGTATAGACAAAATCCAAAGTTCACCTGTAGGCTTGTTGTCTACGAGAGCAGAATTCCAAAATGTCTTAAATTATATCTATAGTATTTTATGTGCTTAAAATATGTCTAAGTACTACATACACTAAGAACATACAAAGCTGAATAAGGGTTTATTTTTTTCCCCTTGGCTTCCCAATATGGTTAGGAAGGTAGACATCTAGGCATCTTTTAATCTTCAGTTCTTTCAGGCAGAGCATGGGGTGGCAGTTACATATGTGTTCCGGGTAAAACTCGTGGAGAAGAGAGGGAGGCCCAAGCCATTGAACTTCAATACTCTCTTCCTTTGGCAGCCTCCTGCCAACAGGGCAGCTCCTGGGGCTCCTCATCTTTGATATTTTGTATTTCATTGTTTCCCGGGTGCAGTCTTTCCTGTCCAGGAAAGCTTCTGCAGGGCCTGTCTTGCAGGTGCCCAAGCATTAGTGACTTACATAACTACTTTCCCTAAGAAGCTTACAGAGAAGAGGGCCATTTATTTGCAACTGACAGAAACTGTAGAATTCCTTCTTCTCTCATGAGATAACAGGGAACCCAGATAAGGTCATCTCTGAACTGTCTTTTAGTATTCCAATGACGTGAAAAGGCTCTGGCCACAAGGAGAACCTTCTGGATTCATGCAAAAGATGCCTTATAGTCTGCTCAATCTGCTGTACTTATGCAGCGGCTGCTGAACAACAAGGCTTGTCAGGAATCTGAAGTGGAAAAGAAGTCTGCATAATTGTTGATGCTGGGGTGAGGACACAGAGAGAGAGAGAGACGTCAACTTCCTCTGAATTGGGCAGAATCTATCAGCCTTAACTTGATTGTGAGCTTCATAGAGGGGAAATGATTATGGTCGCTCACTCTGTGAACGTTTGACAGCTTTCTGACAGCTTCTAATAAAAACAAAATAAGTTGATTTATGGTAAAGCAAGACAGTCCCCAGATAAACGTACTAGAAAGCAAAAACTAATAGACAGCCTCCACAAAGAAATCAAAGAACTCTTTTTCTCTTTTTGAATTTAAATGTCCCTCTGATTTCAAGAGCCAACCCAGGCTCCTACTCTGACTCCTTACTACCACACCCTTTTACCTCTTCCTCAATCCACCTCTCACACCCAGTGAACCACAGCTGCTCCTGGATCCAAAGCAGCACCTGGCACTCTGCAGTATTTGCCGGCAGCGAGGAGAGAGCCGGGCTTGGGGCGGGGAAAGCAGAAGAGCAGACTTTATGTTAAAACTCGAACTCAAAAATCCTAATATTATCCATTTCAGCAGCTTTCCCTCTTAGGGAATCAGCGCAGGGGAAATTAGATCTCACCATCCAAGCGCTACTTGCTCCTCCTTTCCAAAAGGGAAAGGAAGGCATGTCCTTTAGGTTGCAAAGCTTTCCACGGGAAATTCCCTCTTTCTAGTGCGCCTGTCTTCCAACTCCTTTATAGTGTCCTTTTCGCAGCATCCGTGCACCCCCGGGCTTAAATTTCTGCATCTCTAATCCTCCCTTGGATTAGGGGTGGGGATGGAAGGCAGTAGGGAAGATCGGAAATGAGAGAGAGAGAGAGAGAGAGAGAGAGAGGAGACAGACAGACAGACAGACAGACAGACATCCTTTCCCTTTTCCTTCCCAGGTAGCCAAAGCACACGGGGGAAGCCAGCCAGAGCAAAGGCACCAGAGCCGGGTGAAGACCCGCCCAGGCGGCTCTTATAGGAGAGCGCGGGGCGGGCCTGGCCGGGGGCGGTGCCGCGCAACCAGGCTCGCCTATAAGGAGCTGTCCGCCACCCGGGTGCTGATTCCAGAGCTCGCGCCCGACAAGGTGGATCAGGCTATCCACTGAGCGATTGGGTTTGGATTTGCACCTTTAAGGAAGTGGGGGACAAAGAGGAAGAGGCGGGCGAGGAAGGCGAGAACCTCCAGCAGCAGTTGCAGGGACTGTCGACGGAGCCGCAGCGTCGGAGAAGCCCCCCTGGCCACGGTTTCCGTAGAGCGTCTGGGCGCGGGATGGAGTGAAAAAGAGTGTATCTCCCCAAAGGGGGGTGGGAGGGGGTCCAGCGGCCAGGAGAGGAGAGACAGACAGACTGAGAGACAGAGAAGCCACGACTGGCGCCTGCGAATTTGGGATTCAATTGAGAGGGGCCATTCACTCGGGGGAAATGGATTCTACAGCACGGCTGACCAGCGTTTTGACTTTGCTGTTCTCTGGCTTGTGGCAATTAGGATTAACAGCGACCAACTGTGAGTACCAAAAGCTGGAGGCGGGCAGGCGAGGTGGGAGGTGACTACATGTAGAAAGAAAATCATCTGTCCAGGTGTACTTAATTGTGTGAGCTCTGGGCAGAGGGAACAAGGAAAAGAAATGCTGATCGGTTCGGTTCCATCACTCCATCCCAAAAGTTAGCAGAGCTCCCAGAAACCACCCCTGCTGATGTTCCTGCCTTTCTCGAGGAACTGCAAACTTCCCTTAGCTTTCTACTAGCTCGGGGTTCTAGCTCTGCTAAACCACAATCAGGGCTTTCCCGTGAAGGGCCCCTGTTCAAATAGAGTGCACCAGGAACTGAGCTTCCATGGAAAGAAATGCTCCCAGCTGAGGGGCTTGCTGAGAGTGGCTCGTTTCTGACTGTGGCTGCCTACCACATCTGGCTTTAGCACAGTTGGGGTATCTTGCAGCCAATAGAATTGGGAGTTTGGGCCTAAGAATTATGGCCCAATGTTTTTAACCACAAGATAAACAGCTGCCCCTATTACAGGGAGAAGAGCTTTAATACACTCCACCCCAAATCTTTGTGGCAACCAACGCTGTAATGGGGATGCACTAAGTGCACCCTAGGTTGTCCAGGCTCTAAAACCTTAGTAAATGCAGAACATTTAATTTAATAAGCAGGAAGGCTGGACACCCGGAGATCTGCCACCTGCATGGTGTATTTAAAGAACCCACTTCGTCAAACTTGAATAAATCGCTAGAACTATTAGGTTCAAGCTCAATTGCTCAGCTGCCTCTCTAAGCGCAGGAAGGGAAGTTTGTTTTTCTTTTCCAGCTCCGGGAACTCTAAATGAGAAAGAATGCAATTAAGCCATCTGTGTTGTTTCCAAAGATGGTTTATCAAGGTTTCTCAAGTTTCTGGGCTTGCTCCTCCATCCTCTAGCCTTGCAAATATTATCCACATTGGAATAGTTTTATTTCTTTTCTTGTTTGTTAATTTGCTTTATCATTGTTAGAAAAAGGTGAAGATATTTCTATTTCACTCCTCAGGATCCCTTCTGCCTCACACCTTCCATCCAAGAGAACATAAAGTGTTCCCTCCCCCCACTCCAGGGCAATCCTTCCAAGGGAAGAAAGTACCTAACAAAGGTTAGGCTTTAAAAATTGTCCAAAGTAGAACCACAGTTTCTATCTGTGATCAGAAGTTTTGGAGCTACACAGTCTGTACTACTAACTACAATAATAATGCTCAATAAAGATGTTTTTAAAGTTTTTCTCTTAAAGTGGGGCTAAAGAAGCCAGCCTAACAGGAACTAAATTAGTTAGGAAATTACTTCAGGGAGTATATAGAAGCAGGTGAGAAGCTCATATTTCTTTTCTTCTTTCTGCTTCCTCTTTTCTCTTCATGCTCTTCCATTTCCACTTCCTTCTCTTCTTCCTTCTCCTTCTCTTCTTCAATTATTTGTGAAATTGTTCCTGTGATGCTTTAGAAAAAGGTCTAAGTGATTTAGAAAGAGGAAGTTTTGACAGTAGCTAGTTTTTCTCTACCTCCGGCAACACTAGAGGTCAGTATTGTCCTGATGATCTAAAGGTATGACTATATGAACTACATTTTCCCCTTAGCACACTTATCTGTCTGGAAGGAGTGAATACTTTGAAGGTCCACAAAGGTGGGGGTGAGGAAGAGCGGAAATAACACATATTTCATAGGAGTATGGTTTGGACTTCCTCAAGCAGCACCTTTTCTTATGAGTCAGGGGAAAATGTAGAATGGCATTTTTTGTAAATTAATTGAATTATGGTTAATATGTTTTAATAATGCTCATAAAACCTAAATGGCATGGATTTAAGACTCATGCTTATCACTGCTGAGGCAGTTACAAAGTTAATTCTGAACATTTAAAATGAAACTTTGTGATAATGAGCTTTAGTATTTCATCAGTGACAGTTTAATTCCCCCATTTCCAATCAACATTTCAATTGAATGCACACTGCTTGCTAAATATTTTGTAGTTGATTTTCTTAAGGACAAATGATAGATGTTGATTATACTCTGTAAAATGTATTAACTCAGAGAACAATAGAATAGCAGCAGAGAAAGACTTAAGAACCTAGTGCATGGAGGTAACACTTCCAACAAAAAAGAGCCTGATCATTCTATATTCCCTGCACACGTCTGTTGTGTATGCTCTTTATTCACTCTATGTAGAGCTTGTGTTTGCTACCAGGCACAAGCTGCTGCCATTATGTGCACGTTTTGAGAAACAGAAATTTCCTTTAAAATGGTCTTTTTAAAGTTGAAGAAATTATTTTTTGAAGATTATTCTTCCTCTATTCGAAATAACATGTTATTCGTGATGGTAGATTTAAAAATGGAACATATATTAAGTTGTTCCATAGTATGTAATTATGCCTGTGGACTTACTTGATGTAAAAATAACTTGCTTGTTTTTATTCTTTTCCTCATAATTTATTGTTATTGCTGTATTGTGTGTATGTATGTTTACACACACATGCATGCATGCATGTATGTATATTGGTTTAGTATCTCAAAATCTGATCAAAATGTGGGCATTCAACTCCAAGGAAAAATGAATGTTTATCCAGTTACAGGTGTTATATGTTCTTAATTAAACACAATTAAAATAAAGCCAAGTTAGGAGGGCCAGCTACAATATAGATATTATGAATCTAAGCTGAGAATATAATTACCTATGAGTAATAAAATCTCTGGAAATTCCCCCATTCCAACTATTCCGGATATTAAATAGTTCCAGCATTTCCATTGGGTTTACCTTAAGGGGATTAGTTAATTTCAAATATAGATATTAACAGCCCAGTTTTAAATGAAAAACCATTTCGCATGTAATATCAACTCCTTTGACACAGGAAGGAGTGGTAGAACTTGATAGTTTCTTAAAGTGAAACTGAGAATTAGAAAAACTAAGAAACTCTTGTCCTATTTAGGGCATAGCCAAGAGGTCAGATGTCCATTACGGTTATCCAACTTTCACCAATTGAGATATGTGACTACTTCAAAGTGAAAGGCTAAATGTCTTATTAAACAGATTCTTCTGATATGAGGTGTGATAAAAGACTATTATAATGGGAGAAGTTGCATTCAGAAGATAGGAGACGAGCATAGCACATACACACAGTGCTACTACTCATTGTATGTTTATAAAGGAATATATTATGTGATTATCAGTAGCTTTAAGTTTTACCCAAATGAATTAGGAGGATCTCTAATCACCTTATTTAAGTCTGTTGCTTCATGTTAGGATGTTAGGATCAAAATGATAGAACTTCAAGAGAAGAACACAAAATTCTTCATTTTACTTTTGACATCGCAGGCAGGAATTTTATCTCTGATATATGGTAATCACACCTGCAAGTATCTACAAAGATAGGTGTAGACTATATCTTGAACTGTCAGAAGCCAATTTATAAACCCAATCAATAAATACTATTTTGAATATACAAAGAAAAACTGTTTTTGTTTAGTGAGAAAATGATTGTGATACACTTAAGTGTTATATATAGTTAGCAGAAGTGACTGAAGCACTTTAATGCTTATTTGGAAGAGTCCTTAGGATTGTCTTGTTGAATTGGCTCATGTTTGACTTTTGAGGGGTCACATGAACTCTCTTTCCATTATCTTTTTTATTAATGTTTACTTTTATTGTAAAGATACTGTACGGAGGAGTTACAATTACATGAGTAAGTCGATGATCACATTTCTTATGGAGCATTGTTCCCCCTCCTTCATTTTCCCCTACCATCTCTTCCCTCCCCATTTTTCCATTATGTTACATAAACTCTATCTCACATCAGGTCAGCAGTTCTACAAAATGTAAATTAAAGCTGGAATTAGTAATTTTGCAACAACATTTCAACTTTACAATATTAGTTACTATCTGAATCACCTCACCTTGTATTTATTTATTCTTGTTCTAATGAATGAGTGTCCTTTAAATTGCAGATTTTCCCTGCTTTTTTGATTAATTTGATGTGCTTTTTATTGGCTCCCCTTTTTCTTGAGTGGTTTGAATTTCCTTTCAATAGCTCTGTGATATCACTTGAAATGTCTTTAAACCCTTTATATGGTGATCCAAAATTTTTTCTTTTATAAGTGAGAAATCTTCTTTTATAACTGAGATAATCTTTGCTTTTATAAGTGAGATGTAAGTGAGATATTGTCTGTATGTGCAATGAAAATTGTCATCACAAGATAAGACAGTGAAGAATGATGTCTAGATGCTTGGAAGAACAGAAAAAAATAGCAATTTACTTAATATAACTTTATTAAAAAGTTGTAGTATACTCATTTGAAGCCAATTACCAACATATTTTTACTTATAAATAAAGTTCTCTGTTTCATCAAAATCTGCTACTTCCTGCCTGATGACCTTGTGAAGATAACCTGCTTAGCCTAATGATTTTCATAGTAAATGAAGGAATTTGATCAAATTATAACTAATACACAATACAATTCTGATTTATTTTATATTTAATGCTATTGCATAGTGACTGTTTTATTTGTATATTTCTGGGATGGTTATACTCCAACATTATAAAGCAACTGTAATTGAATTATGGCATAATGTAATTTTAATTCCTACCAACAACTATACTCTTATAGCTCTCATTTCATGCACATAATTTTACATGACATGTACAAACAGATCCAGTTTATAGATGACTAACTTCTATGTTATAGATGCCAATAATTTCTCTAATACCATAAAGCTAAATAGTATAAAACTGATCTAGATTGTATCTGTTTTTAAATGTTAAACTCTTTGCGAGATATGAATTTTATTATGCTACTTTTGGTTAGGCACTACCTATAAACATCTGTGGAAAGATGCCTGGTCTCTAAGACCAGGTTCTGGAACTTTATCCATGGCAAAGGGTATAAAATAGAAGTTTACATTGGAGCCAATTGCTGGGTCATACTTAAAAAAAAAAACAGAAAGGTAGAAAATAAAAACCACTTCAAATTGGCATATAAACATAATACAAGTTGGTAAAT